TATTAATACATGGATACAAATTATTATAATATAACAATAGTTAAGTATACTCATAGATATTCAACTAGTTAAATGTAATTTTATTTATATATATGATGCAAGTTTAAAATTTATTTAACTTTATGCTCACTGGTTTTTCATTTTTATTTTAAATTTATATTTTAACCGATTTTTGTAATTTAATGAAACAGATATTCAGTTCAAGGACTTTATGAAGCTTGTGAATCAAATAATATAAAAAAATGTCTATCAATTTTAGGTAAACTTTTTGTTACACATTAACCCAAACAATTATTATTAATAATTATTATATTTGTAAAGTTTTATCATTAAATTTTTTTTAAATATTATAGGATCGAAATGCAATCTTATGTACACATTTCCTAGTAACCATAACCGAACAGCACTGCATGGTGCATGTAGAAAAGGAAACCTTATGATTGTATATATATTACTAACAGCCGGTGTTGATCCTAACCTGGTTGATAACAAAATGAAATCTCCCGTGAGGATGGCTGCTAAAAGTGGTCATAGTGATGTTGTTCAATTACTTATAGACTTTAATGGTAGCCCTGAAATCAAAGTAATACAGAAATATATAATTAAATATTAATATTATGTCATGCAGTTAGTCATAAGTTGTTATCAAATATTATTTTAGGATATACAGGGTATGACCGCACTTCATTTGGCTGCTAAAAACGGAAAATTAGAATGTTGTAAAATTATACTTAATAAACAACCTTCTATGGTAAATTGGAAGGACAATGGTGGATGGACTCCTCTCGTGTGGGCTTGTGAAAATAGTCATAGCGATGTCGTGAAGTATGACAAATAAAATATTTTGGTTTAATTATTATATTTTATATTAATTTTAATCCATAATTAGGTTTTTTATTACATTTAAACCAAATACGAGGATATCAGATGATGAAAATAATGTTGCATTACATTGGGCAGCAATTTCGGGATGTCTTGAAGTTGTTAAAAGTTTGGTGGAATATGATCCTGAAGTAAACATGTTCAATGGAGCTGGTGAAACAGCATTGTAAGTCTATTAATTTTTTTTTCTCGTCTGAATTTACTACATTGTTTTTGTCCATAATTTTTAGACATATTGCTGCTCGTAAAAATGCTATAGATATAGTAACGTTTCTACTAGATAAAGGAGCTATGGCCTGGCATAAAAATAAAGCGAAAAAAAGACCTATAGATCTCTGTCTTCCAAATTCCAAATGCTATAATATATTAAAAAATGTTTCGCCAGAACAACGTAAACCAGTTACTGTCATACCACCCTTAACCACTGTTAAATTAGAATTTACTGAACCAGAACTTCAAAAGCCTCAAACACCTGTTTTTGTTAAGACCACTCCAGTTCTTATATCTGAGTAAATAAATCATTACTTATTTTATTATTTGTTAATACTCCCGTTATTATTAACTGTATATTATGTACTTATACAGAGATATAACTCATGGCTGTGAAGATATTCCAATCAGATGTGTGAATGAAATCGATGATGAAGTACCCGTTGAATTTACGTACATCAAAGAAAACTGTTACGATGTAGGAAATTATGTTGATTCTGCCATGTCTCATATAGCTGTGAGTTACTGTTTGTGTTATTATTAAAAATATTTGAAATTACATTTAATTAAAATTAATTTTATTTTAGAGCTGTAGTTGTGATGGTGCTTGCAACACAAGTGATTGTAAATGTGTACAAGCAAACGGCGATTGTTTGTACGATGAAAATGGATGCTTGAACTCAGATTTTGATTATTTCAGTAAGTATTCAATATTATTTATTCAATCTACCTAGGAATAAATGTCAACCGATTGATTTTTTTTTTTTGGTCAAAATAATATTAACTAAGAATATTTGTTTTATTAGATCCAAGTGTTATATTATATGAGTGTAATTGGCGCTGTAGATGCCATAAGCAACGGTGTGCCAATAGAGTTATACAAAAAKGTATAAAAATAAGATTAGAACTTTTCAAGCATAAACATATGGGTTGGGGCGTAAGAACCCTGCAACCAATATCTCGAGGGACATTTGTGTGCGAGTATGTATACTAATTATTTGACTACACAAAATTAGTAATTTCCAGATTATTTCAGTTTTTATAATATCACACATCATGTTTTTAAGGTATGTTGGTGAAATAATTACAGATCAAAAAGCAAATGATTTAAAAGAAGATTCTTATTTATTTAATTTGGAGAACCCCGTAAGTTAAAATTATGAACTTAACCTAACAGTTAAAAACTTATCTATCTTGGTTTTTGGGTTTAAAAAAAAAAAAAACTTATTTCAGGGAGCTACTGAATTATATTGTATTGATGCTTATAACTATAGCAACGTCTCGCGTTTTATTAACCATTCGTGTGATCCAAATCTAATGTCTGTTCGATCATTTATCAACCACCACGATAAAAGGTTTCCTAGAATAGCATTTTTTGCTGTCCAAGATATAAAAGAAAATGAACAATTAAGGTACTGCCTTAAAACAATGCATATTATGATATATTAGTGTAGACCATTAATGTAAATGTTTTTAATTTTTCAATTTTAGTTATGACTATGGCAAAACTTTTTGGAAAGTGAAGGGTGGCTTGTTCACATGTAAATGTGATAAACCTAACTGTAGTTTCTCTGATGAGACCATTAAAAGTCTTCGTATTGATGATTCCGATAATGAAGATACAGAGCTGGATGGAAATTCTGAACATAGAAAAACAGAACAAAATAAATTTCCTGATGATAAATTATTAATTCAAGAAGTGCACGAGACCAGTAAGACAGTTCGTAACCCATCGCAACAAAGAACGAGATTATCTGTAGCTAAAAATTCCTTAAAACTAAAAACTAATTGTTCAAGTCCATCCAGTAGTGAATGTTCATCAGTGACTGTATGCAGTCTTCAAAAAAATGATTCTAGAGAAGCAAATATGATGTCCATTCCTAAAAATGAATTACTAGGAAAAACTAAAACTATTAGTTTGAATAGTATATTGAAAAACAAAGAACCTTCCACAAGTGAATCAGACCAGTTGTTAAAGGTCATTGATAAACGGTCATCAAAAATTGGTGGTTCAAAATTAATACAAGACAAATTAAAACAAGCTGTGTTAAAAAGAAATTTGAGTGACAAATTGTCAAATGGAAACTCAAGTCTATCAATTGGTAAAAAAACATTGGCTSGAAAAAAACCATCAGTAGGAATTAATGAAAAACGAGATTTTTGCAATGGTAGTAAAGTGTCCCAAGGATCAATAAAATCAACCAATACTAAAGGTATTAAAAATTACGTATTAAGACGCAAAGCATTGAATCCTAATAAAAAAATCATTAAAACTTTGTCATCTGATGGTACATCCCCAAATAATGTTTTCAAATGTAATAGTTTAATAAACAATACTAGGTTTAGTATCTTATCTGATACTTCAATTAGTAATCTTAAGACGACCAAAAATTCAAAGAACAGCGATCARTTAATACGATTTATTAAAACTGAACGAATTGGTGAATAGTCTAAAACCAAACCAAACATGGTTAATGGACAACTTAAGCATGCCAAGTGTCAAAAAACTTCTGCATCTGACAATGTTACAGTAGAAACTAATTATGAAAGCTTTCCCCATTCTGATCAARAAAGGTAGTTAGTCTTAATGAGATTGTTGAAATGAATATTACTATGATAAATCATAAATAAATTAAATATTACTTAAAATTTATTAACCTTTTGGGACTTCTAGACTGATAATTTCTATTCAATTTATAACTTCAAAGTTAATTGATATTGGAAAGTACCTATTGACAGTGATAATTGTAATTGATGCAGCAATATAACCATAAGATCTTTTAAGTTTAAAATTAAATTATTTTATTCATTTAATAAATGACTGAGTATCTAACTTGATTTTATAAATTACTGATTGTAATTATTGAATAACTAATAATTTATATTATCAATTAAGTTTTTTTTTAAGCCTTGGAATTTATTATAAATCGATATTATAGTACCACTAAAATGTTTAAATATGTATAGATGAAGAACCAAAATTGTATAGTTTATTGTAAAATTAATTCATGATGTACATGATTAAAAATATATATATTTACGTAGTTGCATAAGTTTGATTTGTATTTATGGATGGAATGCAACTCTAGTCATTTGGTCTTCCTAATTTAATTAATTTAATATAATTGATTCTGAAATTTGATGTATATTTGTTTTTTTAAGTTTTTTTAGTATTGTTCCATACTAGTTTTATAATTATTTTATTACTCATTTGTACATAAATATAATTTTAAGCTTTAAAAAATTGTTTCATTTTCTTGAAATGTATGTTTTGTTTTTAAAATATTTGATATATTGTATGATGTTTTAATTTTAATTTTTGACGTGTTCATTAGGTAATTTATGTAAGTATATTGTTTTCGTATTTTCTYAAATAACCAATGATATTCGAAAAAATTTTCATTGCGTTTGTTATGTATGCGGTAGCTGATAATAGTTGATTGTTGATTTTGATTACTTTTAAGTTTGTTGTTGTAGTTATAATTAATAGCTACTTTTTTGTTGATTTCATTATGTACAAAAAGAAAATAATAATAAATTCCATGACTGGTTATCTCTTTTTTTTAATGTATTCATATAAATATCTATTCATTAGCCAAAGAGTGAACTTTTTCTAGTTACAATATCATATATTAATGTTTTTATACTTCATTTTTGAAAATAAACAGACTATTTGTATTAATTTAAATCAACACAAATGTGTGGTGTATTTGACAATTATAATATATATTTTTAAATTATAAAATGGCAATAACTATGCGTTATTATTTATTATCAATTAACATATTATGACATATATGTAATGTCAGAGCAATGCATTAGTAATACATTTAATTGTGGACATTGTTGGGCAAATCACAGTTTAGGATATCTGATATATTATATAAAAGCATGACTTAATAGATCTATTTTTTAAATTTTTTTATTCATGATGTAGTATATTATCTAGTGGCGGACTGGCTAGGTAGCAATCACCTCCCGGGCCCTAGATTGTGTCATATTAAGAAAAATTATTTATAATTTTAAATATAATGGTAAAACGTCTGTTGAATTTTGATATTATTGACTAAGACATATAAAATATTGTATATATATATTAGGTTAGATAAAATACCTAGGTCCTAATTGCTGATTAGCGATGAACTCCCAAGCCTCTTGACACCCAGTCCGTCCCTGAGTAAATCTTAAATCGTAGGGCGAATAGTTAATACCTACCTARGTAGTGCTTCAGGGCGACAATGAGTGAAACAAAATTATACATATTGCATCATAGTCTGTTACAGACTATATGAAAATAAATAAAATAATAGTGATAATTTCATATGAAGACAATGCATATAGGTACTGTCTCGGGTACTGTTATATTAATTTTTTCACAATTTCACTTAARCAGTTAAGTACCTATCTATAATATGTTAAAACTGGAAATATAAGTAGAATAATAAAATTACACATCTGATTTTTGGTTAAATGTAACTCGTTATAGTATAGGTAACATAAACCTGTACAAAATAAGTTATTGTACAAGCAACTAACACATTTAACTTCATAGTAAGTAATCGATACCAGTAAATTTATTTAATAAAGGTAATATATTTTTTTGGTTTAAAAAAATATAAAATCAATTGACCTGCTACCTGTAAATAAAAATAAAAATATTGAAGCTATCGTGAACATTTTAATATTCCAATGTGGCAATGACTAACTTTAAATTTTGAACACTCATAGAAAGTTAATTTGAAATTTTGGTGTACCTAATTTTGTCTTTTTAAGACACATTTACAATCTGTTCTTAGCTAGAACAWTAAGTGCACAGAGTAATTTACATATAATTATATAAATCTTTTGAGGGAAGAAGCCACCCATTAGTGACACTACCTATTAATAAAGTTTTTATTATTATTATATACCTATACATTTTTTTTTTTTAGTTTATTAAGTTAAATATAGGAAAACATAAAAGGAATAAATATTGTAAATCTTAAATAAGCCATATACATAGATACATTTTTACGAATTTTTAACTCAAAACAAAAACTTACCTTTGAGGCTGACTTTTTTCTTTTTCCACAGGGTCCAAATTTTTGTGTTATATCACTGCAGCGTTGTTATACTGTTAAAATTTTTATCCAATATCATTTATWGCCGTTTTGTTCGCACAATATAAGTATGAGTAGGTATATTATTTGTGTTTCACCTTGTTCTAGTGTTGTATGAAATAAAAATATTTTATGTCTTCGTCTCGATGGTCTATTCTCTCGCGGCGGCAGTACCTATGAACATTCACTGACTAACCTAACCTGCAGAATAGATTATTTTTCCCACGAGGAGAGCATACTGTTTGTTCCTAAAGATTCATGGCTTAAGCTTAACTATAAATAAATAACCACAAAAAAAAAGATTTACTCTATGGTTAAATCTCCGTATTATGATTATSATCCAATTATTCAACCACGGTCAACGAGAAGACAGAAAATTATATATTTTCTACAGTCGCGTAGGTATCCAACCGAACAAAAACGGCATAACGCGAAAACTAAAACTGCAAAGTTTTATTCATTGGAGTTTCGAATTTTACACACTATCGGCTTTTAAATTGCTKAAAAAAAAATTCAACACTGGTTTGTCGACTTGTCTAATCTATTAATATCTTCATACTATTCTGTCCGTGAAAACTGAAAATATTTAAGTACCTATATATTATTCAATAACAACAACCAACGAAAAGACATGTCCGCAGAGGATACCTATGTTACATTTTTTTTTCGAGCAGGTAAGCACTTAATACGACTTGAACGCGGTTTATCGCAGGCCCGTATTTGAGGGGGCGGGAAAGGTGATTCTGAGAGACATTAGCCCCCCTCCCTTGGAGTAGGTTAGGTGACGACAATATTTTTATGGAGACTTTAAAAAAGTTTTTTGAAAAATTATAAGTTATATTAATAATTCAAATATTATATTATATTACTATTATTCAAAMCGCTGAAATAAAGATTACAATATGTAATATACGTAGTATGTTATATATTTTATGTATTTATATATTAGCTAGGATGTTACCTATTATAATTTATAATATATACAGGGTGATTCTTTTAAGAGGGTACACTAATTATCTCGAAAAGTATTTACTTTTTTCAAAATATTTTTTTACATGGTTTCAAGTTGTTAAAAAACCAACGTTTTATTA